CACAGAGAGACAGAGAGAGAGAGAGAGAGACAGACAGACAGACAGACAGACAGACAGACAGAAAGATTTTTAAAAACTTTTAAATCTTTATTTTAACAAATATTAATTTTTTCCTTTATTTTTCAATTCACTAATTTTATTTAAAAAATTGTGCTGCAGCACAAAAGCATTATAACAATAGACAACCCTCTATGATGACCTCCCAAGGACAGGAAAGACATGACAATAGTCACAACAAAGGCAATCTGCCTGATAGGCTGGTCATTCCAACTTTATTCTTCTTCTGAATGCATTTCTGGTCTCTCCACTGTTCTCTTTTGGCATCAGTGAAGTGAACATCAGTAACAACTTAAACATATTTTAAATCACTTCTTAACTTTGATTTTTAATAATGATACAGTATCTCTTTATTGGAACAGTTCAATTTTTAAAATGAGAATTAGTTCATCTTCTTTCACATGATAAAGTACTTCGGGCTCAATATTAGCCATGGAAACAAAACTACAATATGGTTTTATGCTTATCGTTTTAATTATGTAACTTGGCATCTTTTTGTTTTTCTCTGCCTTTGCTTCCTCTTACTAAAGGACCTGAAACTTGAGCCCCTGGAAGAAGAAGTTGTTGAAGAGAGTACTAAACCCGTGAGTGATTTCCATATCAGAAATACATACTTTGAAGGCAAGACTTAAACTACCCTCAAAAGCTAGTAACCCAATGATAAGTTGAAAACTTAAGTAATGAATGAACACTTTTACTCCCCGACACCATAGCATTTATTGTCATATGTATTATTTCTTGCTTTCAATAACAATAAAAATTTCATGGCATGCAAAAAAGCAAGATAAACCCATCATAAAAGTTACTAATTACTAAACCCAGAAACACAGTATATAGAAAGATTTCATAAAACAATCAGAATTTCTGCAATTTTCCAGTTATTTTGCACTTTGTTTAAAGGTCTTACTCATTTTGCTTGGCGAACGTGGATTTGTGAGTACCTAGGACTTCACGTTAAGCATTAGTTGCTTGTGTGAATGAACTTTTCATGTACAAGATGCAAAATGAAGTTTTTATACACTTATGAGACAGTGAGTTATTGTATAATTGAATATGACGGGCAGAGAAGGATACCATCCAGATGTTATCATAAACACCAGTAGGTTGAATATTGTAAAGGCATAAGCTGAAACCTAGTCCTGTGTATCACTGTACCTCTAGTGTTTAGCTTAAATCTGGGGACTGTTACATACTAAGAGATTAAGTCATTAGTCTTCAAGATAGCTAAATGGGGGTGTAGCAGCATAACTTATTTTCACAGAAGGAAAAAGTAAGGTGCATAGAGATTTACATTTACAGCCAAACTTCCGAAGTCCAACGCTGACCTTACACTCACACTCAACAGTCTGGTGACGCTGTCAACACAGTGTCTCGTGGATTTCTCACCACTGCAGTAGAGGTGCTTGCTGCTAGCAAGGTTGTGGATTAACAGTCGTTTTTGTCCATGATATTTTTTTTCCATCATGAAAACAGATTAGGTTAATTTGTGGGCTTATTGAAACACAGCAAATCTAGACATTTTTGCATGTAACTTTCTGAGCACTGGACCATTACATTGTCATGAATCTAAGCTATGGTTTATTTCCTAAGACCCATTTCCCCATCATCCCAAAGTCATGGAAGTAAGATACATAGACAAATATTTTATAAAGCATTTCCCACTTCAGTTGGCAGTGTGAACCTGGGAGCTTGAGTAGGGCCTAAAACTGAGGTAGACTAAATCCTCATAGATTAGCCAACTTTATTCAGAGCATCAACTTTATTCAGGCAGTTTATACTCTGAGAGTTAAGAAGAGTCACCTGTATAAGGTGTTCAATCACAAGGACAAGCCACACGTGGCAAAAACATGTTTTTCCATAGAGGCATATGAATATTAACAGCTGAAGTACACTCACTCCTTCCACTACACCTGGGAGAATCAGGAAAGCATATTTCAAGAATAATTTTGTGCTTTTGGAGAAATTGAGGTCACAAGACTCTTGTCTTGTTTTCTTGGAGTTTTTCTTACAAGCACCGAGAATTTTCACATGACTCCATTCTTGAACCATGTTCTGACAAGAAGACTATTTGCTCTACCTCAATTTTGTGATACAAGTACCCACTGTTTAAATTTTATGTATTCAAACTTAAGCAAAAACAAATACCTTGTAAGAGTGAAGCCAATTTATTTGCAAAAGAAGCAGACAGAAGAGCTCTCAGAGTACTTCAAATCTGCAATGAGTAAATACATGGAATGCGCTAAAGGAAATTAATAGTCACTTGCTAAAAGCAGTGCATCTTTTGTTTTAATCACCTCACCAAACCAAAGAACTTAAGGACCATCGATGTATCAGTCGATGAAAAGATCTAGAGATAAGTTTGTGAATACTATTCATCAGAAAACAGGTGAAGGAAACTAGAATCAGTAATAAAATGTGATAACGAATATTATAGATTAATATACATTTTCACAAAGGGACATGATCTAATATAGGGGAACAGAGAATGCACCCGGAATTATTTATTTAAGACAAAACCACAAAGGAGGGAGTGTAAGAGCCATAGGGGATGGACGACACCAAGAAAACAAGGCCCTCTAAATCAACACGTTCAAAGCTCTTATGAACTCACAGAGACTGAGGCAGCATGCACAGGGCCTGCACAGGTCTGCACCAGGTCCTCTGTGCTTGTATTATGAGTCCCAGTTTAGTGGTTTTTATGGAATTCCTGAGTAGGGAATGAGTGGGTCTCTGATTCTTGTGCCTTCCTTTGGGCTCTTTTCCTTCTTTGTCTTTTCCAATTCCTATATGACAGTTTTTGTTTTGTCTTATTATATTTTATTTTCTCATTATCTCTTAGAAGACTGTTTGTTTTCTGATGAGAGACAGAAAAGGAGTGGATCCAGACAGGACAGGAGGTGGTGAGGGACTGGAAGGAGTAGAGGTAGGGGAAACTATAATCAGGATATATTATGTGATTTTTAAAAATCTATTTTCAAAGGAAAAAGAGAAGGTGAAAACAAAGATGTAGTTACAATGTACAAGAAAAGATACTTTACTTCTGGGGACATACTCGGGATAGAATTGTAGTAAGCAGGACATATAGTAAATAGAATAAGACAATAGTAGAAGATGTTTACTCTGGATACAGTCTAAGTAAGTATGCATGATGCACTAGGTTGATGCTTAGCAACCCAACCCCAAACTTCAAGAACTTGGAAAAATAGTCTATGGGGCCTCAGGTAGTGGATCAGTACTTATCCCTAGTACACGAATGGACTTCGGAAGCCCACTCCACATAGAGGACTACTCTCTCAGCCTAGACACATGAGGGAGGGTCTAGGCCTTGCTCCAAATGATGAGACGGACTTTGATAATGATGATCCCCCATGGAAGGCCTCACCTCTGGGGAGCAGAAAGGGGTTGGGATGGGGGAGACTGGGGGGGGATTAGGATTGACATGTAAAAGAAGCTTGTTTCTAATTTAAAATTGGTCTAATTACAATTATAAAAATAAAATAAAAAGGAAAGAAATCTACATCCTGATCTACAGGCAGAGATGGGGGAGAGGGAAGGAGAGAGAGACTGGGTCTAGCTTGGGCTTTTGAAACTTCAAAACCCACCCCTCAGTGACACAGTTCTGTCAAAAAAGGCTACACCTACTTCAGCAAAAATGAACTTCCTAATCATTCTGTTACTCTGAAGTAGTGTCCCTCCTTTGGTGACTCCGTAGGAGCCTATAGGGGCAATTCTTATTCAAACCACCACAACTGGATATACTTAGTGCCTCTCATAGTTCTTACAATGCAATCAGTGTTTGACAAATAACAGCTATTTAACAAGCACTGAGAAACTGGATAGAATATGGAACAGAAGATCGGGGGTTTAACTGTAGTCGCTATGCTACATGACTAGCAATACTGGGCAAGTTTCGTTGGTATTCCAATAATTCTTGTGAGTTGTATTTTAAATTTGCTTTTTCACTTTTTTTGTTTGGTTTTTTTGGTTTTTTGAGACAGGGTTTAGAGAAACCCTGGCTTTGGAGACTGTCCTGGAACTAGCTCTTGTAGACCAGGCTAGTCTCGAACTCACAGACATCCACCTGCCTCTGCCTCCTGAGTGCTGGGACTACAGGCGTGAGCCACCACCGCCAGTTCGCTTTTTCACTTTTATGAGGCTTATTTTCATACTTCCTAATTTTTCTCCTCAATGCTTGCAGAAGAAGAAAAATTAATATTGAGACCTATACTTGCATGAGGCACACAGGCAGATCTCTAGGCAATTGTCTAGGAAATTGAAACCACAATTATAATGGTAATAAGGTTTTTTTTTTTTTTTTTCAGGAAAAGCAGTTATTAGCAAACCCACTGTGAGCCATTAAACAGGGTGTAGTAGCAACTTTTCTTGTTGCTATGGTAAAATATTTGACAAAAGCAACTTAAGGAAGACCTGACTATTTATTTGGCCTTATTGTTTTGAGAGTGCACTCCATCGTGACAGAGAAGTAACAGAAGCAGGCTCAGCAGGCAGCTGGTGCTATTATGTCCACAGTCTGGAAGTAGAGACAGAGAAGTTCTGGTGCCTGGCTTGCTGTTTCCTTAGACTAGGACTACAGCTCCAGGAATGGTGGGTCACAGTTAAGCTGGGTCTTACTTGCTAAATTAGCCCAATACAGAAACCCCCTCACAGACCATACCCAGAGGTTTGTCCCTTAGGTGATTCTGGATGTGGTCAAGTTGACAGTACAGAGCATAACACAAGTGTTAGAGAATCCTGAATAGCACATATTGTAAATGGGTAATGTTTGATAGCCCTTTAATCGCCAATACAGCATTGGAAACGCAACTGTAAAAGCACATTTTTAAAAGCAAATTTGATTGTAATGACTGTCACAGTATCTGCTATCGGAAAAATATCCAAGAAGCTATGCGATGACTCAGCAGCATATCAGAGGCACTCGGGAAGTTTTTAGGATACCAGTGCCTGGGCAAGCCACCTCTGCCTCACAGAGACTTACTCTTGAAAGCTCCTCCGCGATTCTAATTGCAGCTCTTGCTTAATTTTAAAGAAAAAACCGCCTCGGTGCAGAGCGTTTCTTTAGCTTCTGTTGCTGTGTATTTGGGGGCTTTTGTGTGACTTGGGATAAGGAATAGTCACGGCTTTCCCTGGTCAGTTTCTGGCTGGCAGTCGTGATTGCAAGCTCCCTTTCCTCCTACGCAGCACATCATGCTCGTGCAACGCCAGATGTCCGTGTCAGAAGACGATCTGGAAGAGTTCCAGCTTGCTCTGAAACACTACGTGGAGAGCGCCTCAGCCCAAAGCGGGTGCCTGCGGTAAGCGCTCTACACAGGTGTTGAACATGGGAGTTTAGGTGAGGGTACAGGTGCCAGAGCACAGGCATCTCCAAATCTTCTTGTTGAGTTCTGCAGAGCAGTCCAGCCCTGGCATTTGCAGAGTTTAGCAGGATATTTTCTGTTTGATCTTTGAACCAGAGTTGATTTAATCATTAGGCATACAGAGGGAAATAAAGCAGAGAGCCATCTGAATGGAAAGGGTTTCAAATAGATTGCACTCTCTCTTTTGCACACAGGCCACCAGCACGCATTGAGAATCATCTGTGTAGACTCATGGGTGCCTGACCTCCATTACCCGGGGGACTAATGACCATTTCCACTATTGTGAGAACAGCAGGGCTCTCCAAAACTAAGATTTCAGACCTTGTTTCAAAAAAGCAGCAGCAACATCTTTCTCCCTTCACCCATGGCTTTCTCTCTGTTGTATAAAGACTCATAAAGTAGGCTACACCACGTCTGTAGTTTTTCACTACCGTTAGTTCAGTAAACCATTTCTAGCATAGTTGTCCACAAACAATGGTAGAATTCCTATCACAAGGACTCTGCAGTACCTCTCCAAGGAGAACCCTTTCAAATGCTGGATATTTGCCTAGACTTTATGAGTTTGCTGCCCTCAGACCCAGACGCCCTCAGACACAGCCATCTAGCAATAAGCCAGCATTGTCTTCCTTATTACCATGACACCAGGCTTTTCCATAAATACATGCCCAGTTAGTCTCTCATGCCAAGTCAGAAGTCACAGCACAGACCCTGGCTTATCTGTGTTGAGAAAACTTCCACAGGAATCTCCCTCTACCTGCGAGCTCATTTCTACTGCATTCCCTAATGTTCTTTCAACATTCATGGAAAGTGATTTAGCAGATGTGTGGTTGTGAGGTATGTGTGCATAAAAACATGTTATGTCTTTGTTTTGCTCTTCTGTCTGGTGGGTAATTGATTTTTATTTATGCTCAAGCCTAACTTTAGGTCTTTGAAGTAAACTATAATTAAACTTGGGTTAAAGCTAGGATTGCATAGCTCTGTGTCTTAGGGATTCTCATTGTTTGTAAACCTCACTTTTCACTGTCTAGAACTTCATGGAGGCAGGCCTGTGATCCCAGCTACCTGAGGCAGGAAGATAATTA